AACACTTTGTAATATTTAAGTATTAAAACAATTACATATGTATGTCACAAGTACCACGCGCGCATGCATCTTTTCTCAAAAAGTTAGTAAAGTGAGAAAAACCAGGTTTGATACAGACGCAATTCATCAAATACTAATAAACTTATGAGACAACATGTGACGTGACAATAGTGTGTTTCTCCAACTTTAGTTGCCTAAATTAATTATCACAAAAAGTGCATACACTTTGTTTTTATATTATGAAAACTCATTTTTTTTAAGTTTTGATGGTTGACAATAAGCTTAACTCCTCGGTTCACTCTTAAATTCTTTAAAACTCAAATATTCACTCACATGGCGATTTAAGAACTCAAAAACAGTCTCTTCATTCAAATAGAAAACAAGTTTTTAAGACTCACCCCAAATGCTCGAGATAAAATTGTTTTAAATTACGTAAAAATTCAAACAAATCAGAAATCAATTTGAATTCAGACAATTTTGCACGAAGTGTCTTACACTGTACCCTAGTTACTCAATACTTGGCTAAACCTTACTGGTGACCAATTTAAGAATAGATATTTTTACGACATGAAGAGTTTAAATAGTTTTGTAAGCAGTTCAGGAATTTCGGAATGAATTTTAAAAAATTCAAGAATTCACATGAGTTCCTTAAGAATATACTTTTATGTTTATCATTACCTGAATTCAAGAATGATTACTCCATCAGAGATGTACAAAAACCCAATAAATAATACATGGTGTAACAGCGACCTTGCATTTTAATATTAGACATAAAATATAATGTTTGATGAATTACTGCAGCTTCTTTAATAGACATTGGACATAATTATAAGTTCATCCCAATTTGAATGAATTTTTTAACAAAACTTTTTTCAAAATAATTTTTCCGAAAAGCGTTTTGTGTCTGCGTTTGTTAAGGTATTTTCTTTGTTTTTCTAAAATTTCAGCACAATTGCATTTTTTATCAAAAAACTATGGCAACTCAAAAAAAGGATTGTGCATTTTTAAGGTCTTGCAACTTGGACAAAATTATAAGTTCGCTAATTTACACTATGAAAAAATTTCACTCTTTTTTTTAATCAATAATGTATCAATTTCTGTCCACACCCGATTGAGTGAAATTTTCACTTTACTCATACAGTACAAATAAAATTTTATGAGTGACACTGTTGCAACAGAAGTAAGTGAATTTTACTCAAATCCGAGTTTCTGCTAACTATCAAGTGAGTGATTTTTTACTCTATTCTGAGTATGTAAAACTAATTAAAAGTTGAATTTTTCTCTAATATGATTTAAATTTAACTACTATTGAGTAATTTTTTACTCAGACTTGGTTCATATTCTCTTTAAATTTAAATATCATTGTCTTAAAACTACTAAGCTGCCACAGTGGTTTCTACATAGATCTGTTTTAGAGACAATATTTTAGGTCTCGATTAAAAGAATTGGTTAACTGATCGGGCGAATAGATTGGCCATAATCTATATTGTACGTTACAGATACGTAAGTAACTATTGGTAACAATCTAACTATCCGTTTATTTAGCCAAAGACTAATCGAAACTCAGTATATTATTGTTTTAATTATGTATTGTAAACAAACCACACAATTGTCACCAAAATAATCGGATAAACGGATACTTGTCCACCTGTGCACGCCATACACCACGCCACGAGATAAATGACCTAATGGGGACGATGGGAATAGACAAAAACAACTCACGACATGGGATGGGGTCACTCAATAATGAGAACATTTACTCCGATTTAAGTACAAGTGTACCAAATACGAGTTTATCTGGAGAAATTTATTTAACGGATACATACAGGGTGATTCAGAACTTATCAAAAAAAAAATCTGGATGTACAGGGGACCCTTACAAATACAATTTTGTAAAGAAAAAATCAAAAAGGGCAGTTCGAAAATGATTTAAAAATACACTTCTGCACGGCACTGGAAACTGGTCCACTGTAAAACCTGACCTCGCACAATGCGACCGGTATGGCGGCGTGATAAAAACGGACAAAAACTTTCGCAAGGAAAGAAATATGTAAATAGAATTTTATCGCACCTATTTTATATCGGCAAATTCAAATGCTTTTGCCTTTATTAATTATTAATAAAATTAATTTGTGTTTTTAAATAATAAAATCATTTGACATACCCGATGCTGCAACAGCAATTGTTCAAAATTTTATCCACTCACGTGTAAACACATTTGGGTCCGTCTTACTCACTTTCTACGAACTAACACAAATGATGTCTTGCTTCACCATAACACAAATGCTTCACCATAATACAAATGTTGTCTTGCTTCACCATAAATTAAAACGATATCCATCAACTCCGAGTTGCTATACACGCAAACCATTTTTGACACTAACTACTAAAAAACTATTGTAAACACCACAGATAACAGGTAAACACTATCGCAACGACGATTGCAAAATCGGATTTCAGTATTCGGAGTCGCTGAGGCCACGTAGCTCTCCACGCGTATTGCGAATGACGCTAGAGACTACAGTTGTCCAGCTATGTAGTGGTTGAATATACTATAACTTCAATAATTTTTTTTTGGGGACTTTTAGGGTTTTTCCAATTTTTTTTTTTTAATATTGACTCCATTTCTCATGCCGCATCTATTCCCAAATTTTTTTGGATAAGTTGTGAATCACCCTGTATATTTAAGTGAAAGTACTCAGTTTTAGTTCAAATATAATCACAAATGAGGAAAATTATCAAAAAGCTCACTGTTGAGTGAAAATGTAATAATTTCACTCAATGAATTCACTCCGTACCTTTCTTGACTGAAAATGTATTCAATAATTTCACTCAATGGACTCATTCAGCTTTCACTCAGCCCGATTTATTTACAGTGTAATTAAACAATTAGTGGTAAAAAACGAATGAAATTAACAAATAGCTGGAGCAACAATTTCACGGTCAATGGAATCGGCGTTTGGGATACATGTTGCTCATTCATTGACTTTTCTATAAATTTCATCAACATCCATCCCTTTTTGCTATATGCGAAATTTTCGAAAACTGACCTTTATTTTACAGTTAACAAATCAGTGAACAATGTGACTCTAGGTACCTTAAATTAGAGGTAATTTAATTACATAAAATAACTAATATTGCGATAAGTCGTTTAGATTTTCGTGGGCAGTAAAATAGTGAAAAAACACGTAAATTTCGACTGGAGTAAAAAGGCATTTTGCCAAAACTAGTCTAACAGTGCGTGGAGATAACTCAAGATCGAGGATTTCTTTGATTTGAAAATAAAAAATAAAGGTATAAATTTTAAAACCAATAATTAATTGTAAACCCAGCAACCACAAATTCTTGAAATGATAAACTTGTTGGTTTAGACTAAATTTCATAGGTCTGGGTTTTGTGGGTTTAGTTTAATGGATTTAGGTTTATTAGGTTAAGTTTTTAGGTTTATGGTTTTAAGATTATACCTTACTTTTTTTTATATTCGTTAGATATTGTTCATATTTTGTAGTATCAAGTATGGGAAACATTTCTGATTGTAATTTATAGTATATATTATTGTTCTAGTATTGTATAGTATTTAAGATATTGCAAGTTGAGTTCCCAAAATATCGCAATTGTCGCAGTGAATAAGAAAGCGGGCATAATTATGAGTATTTTAAAAAATATATATCCCAATATCAATACGCAATGACAGCGACCCAGTTCAATGGCAATCTGTCGGTTGCTATCACCTTGATCATGCAAAATTCATATTTTACACTTTTCAACATCTGAGAGTTTACGACCTTTTACCATTTTTCCAAAAATCGGGAAGGAACATTCGAAAATCATAAAACAATACATTTAACATAATAAAATAATGATAAACGTGATTTACTGCAGTATAATTTTGTCCAAGTTGAGAGGCCTTAAAATGCACATTTTTTGTGTTGCCATAATTTCCTGATAAAGAATGCATTTGAGGTGAAATTTTAGGAAAACAAAGAGAGCACATTAACAAACATGGATATGAATCTGCTTTTCGAAAAATAATTTTGAAAAAAGTTATGATAAAAAATTCATGAATTTATAATTACGTCCGGCACTGCAGATCTCAAAGTAGTAAATTATAAAAAAAAATCCAACTGTCAAGAGAAGTTATATCTATTATATACAAACTTGTATAGGCTATTTTTAATCAAAATGGTTAAGCCTTTTGAATTTTTTCCCTTAGAATTTACCATAAAAAATATGACAAGTGTACGATAATGTTAGAAACATTACTATCAGCCTAATATAAATGAGACGTAATTCAGACTCTTCATAATTATCATTTAGTTTATGTTTATTAATTCAGTTTTACCTATAGATGATGACATGAGGGAACAGTATCGTACTGAGTTTGAAATCTATAGCAGTTAGTAGTCCTTGAGTAATTAATCAAAAACAATATTTCATCTCCCATTTTTGAAGGATAGTTAGGAATCGTATTAAAAAGAAATGTTCTTACTTTTTGATTTGTTTTAGCGAGAGGAATCAGCAGTAAGTTTGTCTCAACAATGCTGTCACACCAGTAAAAAATATATATGTATGCAATTCTTTAATATATATCTTTGTTTATTATTTTTTTTATGAAAATGTTAAGTAATACGGCACGTTCTTAATAATTTATCAAAACATTATGTGCAGTTTATTGCCAACCTAAATTAAACTTTCCGAACTCTACTTAATACTGTTTGTTTTTAGCGAATCATAAAATGAATATAAACATCATATAAACAATATAAATATCGTATAAATTTAAGAAAAATGTTCTGGTTACATAGTAAACGTTAAATATTTGAACGGGTGTATAACATACGAGTAGTTGGTTACTAACATGTTAGTAGGTAAATGTAAATATTATTTTAAATTGGTCTAACTAGACATATGTATCTAACGTATATTTGTACAATATTTCATGTTACCTCCTATTACTAATTTGTCATAAAAATTTACTTATATTTTTCATAAATCTATAGGAAAATGAGAACCATTTTATGCTTTTTGGGAAAAAGCACTTTTCGAGCTGGTGGCATGAATGTTATTGTAAAAGGCAGACAAGCCAGCAGATCTGAGGCTCCTATACTAGTCGCTGCTCCTCACTCGACGTTTTTGGATGGGGGTATTATCTATGTTATCGGTTTTCCCTCCACTATATGCAGACGTGAAAGTGGGGCTAATAACCATATAGGAAGTATGTTTTTTTTTTTATTTTTAAAATCTTTCTTTTATATAAATTCACGAAACTTGTATTCGGCAGCAACAACACTGGATATTCCAAACTATAAAGTACCTAAGTGCTATAGTAGGATTTACATACATACTGGTAGTTTCAAAATACGTATTCTAAACAGCTCTTATCCACATAAGATATGAGATGTTAGTACAAAATAATGGCAAATAAACAAAAAATAATAATTTAGCGGTGTTAAAGAAAGAGTAAAAGTAGCAAATAAATTTAGAAATAATATTTTTCATATTTAGTTTTTCTATTTGTTCTATTAATTAAAATAATCTTGAAAAATTATTATGCAATTTATTCAAAAATTTCAGAAAATTGAACCAGTATTTTTTTCATAAATGTATCATTTTAACAAAGTTTGCATAAACACTTAAAAAAGTCGTAGATGTAGAATTTACGCTTCATGAAAGGGACTGGTATACAGGGTCCGGAAAGGTCATGTCAAATATGAAGGGGTACACAGAGGAGCTTAAAATAGATGTAGTACTTCATAAAAAAATGTTTCCTATAGGGCTTCGTTGTGGAGTTATTCGCCTTCAAAGAAAGAAGTTTGAAAGGAAATTCCAATTATAACTTCTAAGTCAATGACAACAATGAAATTTGGGCAATTAAAGTAACTCATGATAATGTTCATTTCCAAGTTTAAATCGATATTCAATATACCTGGCTTATACAGAAGCAGACGAAATTATCCATTTAAATTTATACATCTTTGACAGCGTTGCCAAGTTTGGCATTTTTCTTTCATAGTTCGATTTTTCTTTTACTTTGCTAAAAAAAAGTCATACTATATATCAGTCGATATCTTGTACTGTTTTTGAGAAAATCAAAATTTATTAACAACATACATGTATTATACTTATAAAAAATGAGATATTAACATTTTTACAAAAATATTGGAAATTGAGATGACTGTCAACAGTGTCAACAAGTATGTATAATTAGGAGTTAGATTTTGTCATAAATCATTTTGACACCATTTATTGATTCGATATCATTGAGGATTTTAGCTATGAAGAATTTGCAGATATTCATCTAATGTACGAACTTGCAGAATGTAATGCTTCTGAAGCTGTTCGGATTTACGGCAACCTCTTTCCAAATAGAATTTGCATATTTGAGGTGACGAAAACCCCCATGCTAATATTCAGACAAAACACTAACAAAAATGTATCGTTAATGTATGGATGGGAATAATTGGAAACTACTTAGTGAGGCCACATATCATTGATGATGCTTTAAATGGGGATAATACCTACATTTACTGCAAGAACACCTTAAAGGTGCGGTTTCGGTAGTGCGTCTGGCGACTGCGACTAGCGACTGCGACTAGTCGCAAATTACTGCTTTAATGCATATTAGATGCACGTGGCAACTGTGAGGCGTTCAAGCCGCGAACGCTGGCGATCGAGTCGCGACGTCGGCGACTCGACTGCCTATGGGACCAGTCTAGCCGCAGTCGCAGTGGAGAAATGGTGCGTTTTTCTGCACATGAAGATGAAATATTAGTAGAACTTCCAAAATATCTCTTTCTTTTTAATTATGAAGTACTCCCCAAACTGTTAGGATTTAATTGACGAAAACATGCCTAAACTTTATTTCATCTTCTTTTAAATGAGCATTAATAAGGAGATTGAAATATCCTTCCCTCTTACCTTGTTTGTATATGTTATGGGCGTCACACCTCTTGTGCAATAAGGTTTGTTTTAACAACTGTTCTTCATAATCTTCTTCTTCTAATAAAATCAGATATATAAGATCTTTCTCATTCATTTTCCCTATTTAAAAGAAATAAAGAAATAAGTAAAATAATGAGAACCTATTATATTAACCACCGGACGTAGACTAATAAGTGAGTCGCGCTTTTCTAGACGCTCCACTGTAAACACCCACGCCGCGCGACTAGCAGCTGCGCTCAGTCGCAGTCGCAAGCCGCAGTCGCCAGACGCACCACCGAAACCGCACCTTAACCCGTTATATAACCCTTTAAATATTTGAAATAACATGTGGCTTATACCCACCACCCCATTTTAGCAGCTTAATCCTCTCGATTTTTTTCTTTGGGTCCATCTTAAAAGTCTTGTTTATCATATTCCTATGAATAATAAGGAAGAATTATTAAATACCATAATTACATACGCCGCCGATATCATTAGAAATGATCACATGTTATTTTGAGTACAGCAGAGGTGTTTGAGCAATTTCAGAAAATGCATTGAAGTTCAAGGAGCACATATTGAACATCTAAACAGTTATCTTTTTCTTTTAATTCTATAGAAGCCAGGATTTTTACAAAAATGTTAGTATCATATATTTTATACAATACCTGAATGTATGTTCTTAATAAAATTCTATTTTCTCAAAAACGGTACAAGCTATCGACTGACGTACAGTATACCTTTTTTTAACAAAGTAAGAGAGGTATCGACTTATGAAAGAAAAATGACATGACCTTTTCGGACACCGTGTATATAGGTACCTAAATGCTAAATGTATGTATTACCCTATAAAATTTTGTAAATTTATCCATATACAACAAATCGACCTCTTCGATTTTTTTGAAACTTTGAGATATTAATCTACTTTGAATTTTATGAGACCCGTATTTTTCCGAAAAAAATTTTTGGTGCTTATCCTGAAAATGAAAATGCTTATTTTTTTCTAGTGGCTATCATTTTGACCCAAATTATGATTTTTTTTCAAAATGTGTAGAATTTTATCAGCTTTTACCCGTTTCTTTCAGAATTCAAATTGCTTTAAAACTTTGCGAGATAAATGAGAAAAACGGCAAAAAGTAATTTTAATTGATTTTATGAAGAACCCCACCTTTTATTTTCACCAAATTTGGATATGTTTTTCAAGGCCAAATAAGCAATCTTTTGACCAAACGGCAATATGCCAACTTGCTCCGTTCGGAAGATACTTGTTTAAAGTCAACTAATCCACTTTGTTTCGAGATTTCCAGTAAGCGCGTTTTCTTGATTTTTAATAAAAAGAAGAAACTGATATGATGAGTCAGGTTAGGTTTTCCTGCATGTGAAACGTAGAAAAATGATCCAAATCGTAAAATTAATTTTATTCTATAAGTTATCTTAAGCGCTCCGGAGAGACTATAATCAAAGTGGATTGCTGCCCTTAGTCGGCCGCAACTATCCCTTCTCCAAACAGAAACCGGGGATCGACGCGCTGTAAATTTATTATCTCCCAAAGATGGTGGACCAATTATTTTTTACGCACCCCCATGATATGGGTATCAAATGAAAGGGCTTGCTGAGAAGAATACGAAAATAAAATGACGTCAATAAAAGCTCATTTAAAAAAAAATTATACATGACCTTATTCTGAATATAGCAATAGTATGTTACAAGATAATTTGATGTTTACTGGTATTGAATTAAGATCACGATGTCTAGTGATATACTCATGTATATCGGATTTTTTTCTAATTTTGTCATATAAGTATCGCGGTTGTTTAATAGCTAAAACTTTATAGGTAAATTACAAAACGTTCATGTAGATTAAACCATTTAGAGTCATACAAAACTGCAGATATACGTTCATATTTTCTAAGGTTATAACAAAATCTAAGGCAAGCATTTTGGATTGTTTGTAAATAATATTTATCTCTTTCTAACAATACAGGCCAGTAAATAATATCACAATATGTTACTCGGGAATGAATTACTCACACATTCATAACTTAACATTAGTAGATAAAATATCCTTATAAATATAACAAAGTTTTAATTTACCAAATTAGACACATGAGAATTAAATCTGAGATTTACATCCAATTCTAAACCAAGATTGTCATATTTTTGTCTTACTTTCATTAATAAATTGATCCTTATCCAAGACGTGATCGACAAAAGAGTAACCGCAAAAAAAAACATTTTTTCGCTCGTTTTTGCGTAGTGTGTAGCAAGAACAGGGAAGGTCGTCCAGAGGTCTCCGTGAGCTTAAATTGATCGTCATTAAAAATCTAGGTGAGCATAATTCGATTTTTCCAATATTTGTCCGACTTACCCTACTTAAGGGGTGGAAACCACCGCTAAAACAAGAAACGTGAGAAAATGGTCGATCAATTCTTGGTAAAAATTGGCGGGAATTTGAATGGCAAGGAAGAGATCAAATATGCTCAAGGTGAAAAACATCCCCCGCATGGGGGTAAAACCACCCCTATTGCCGAAAACCGGCGGCAAATGATGTTCCCTTCATGAATTGCCTTTTTTGTGCCACTCTTCCTTATAAATCCAAATGATATGAAATACATGCCCCCATAATTCGTTCTTCTGTCGGATTCTGATCCGTTACCCCTACTGAAGGGGTGGAAACCACCCCTAAAACAAGAAAACAGAAAAAATGGTCACCAAAATCTGGGTAAAAATTGGCGGAATTCCACATGGCAAGGGTAACATCAAGAATGCCCTCCTAAAAATGCTCAAGGTGAAAAACACCCCCCGCGTGGGGGTAAAACCACCTGTTGCCTCGCCGTTGAAATACTACCCGTATTTCCGGCCTAGACGGTTCAAAATAAAGGACACTCTCGGCTCATTAAAAACTGGACATATATTTTAACATTAGCCACTTCAATAATACATAAAAGGTTGCAAATATTTTGGAGACGTCTTTTTTAAAACATACTTCTACCCTAACAACGTAAACAACAACAAAAACTATTTATATTTTAGGCACATCAGTTACGACATTCTCCCACCTGAGCAACGGTTCACATTATGAAACGTTTATCACAAAAAGGAGTAACAAGATGGCTTAACTATAATACAACTTCTATAACTACTAAGAATACTAATCTACATAACGAGTGGGTATTTTTATCTCTCTACCAATCCGCGTGAAACGCACATTTTGAACGGGTACTCTGCTTTTATACACTCCCGCACTGTCATCACTTTCCTCATCTCCTTGATGAGCTTGGTATCGGCGACCAG